ATCATGCAGAAGCGGATACACCAACTGAAATGATGAAAATTGGGAAAATTTACAAGATGGAAAAGCAATATCACACTGATATAAGCAATAAATATAGAAGGCCATAATGCTATACCTGGCCACCATGCAATTTCTAGATCAGGGAAAAAGGGTATTAGATCTGGTGACAAAAGTGCAACAACACATTACACAGAAAATAGAGAAGACAAAGAAGTTGAAGCTTCAGCTTTAAACCATCACAGATGCGACCTGTGTTACCTGAGTATATTTAATGAAGTAGATATGCAGTGCAAGGAAGAACAATAAATACTAATTTCCAAAACCCCTTCTTGAGTTATCCTCTAAAATTTCAGCAAAAACTCCATCTGCATTCCAGAACAGGCTGCTACGTAAGAGGCTGAAACGAACATGTATAGAATAATAGAAACGCCTCCCCCCCCCCATACGTACCTGACGCTAATGCTAATTAATAATAATAGAACAAAGTATAAGAAAACGATGACGGTTACAATTTATTGGTTGGTTGACAATGTTATCTGAACTCAATCTTTAGTTTTATGCCCCCCCCCAAAAAAAACCCTGCACGTCTTCAAATATTTTTGACCTCACATGTGCACAAAATATGCAGAGAAAAGAACGGTTCGGTACGATTTTTCCTACACAAACTACTACAGTAGGATGCAATTTTTAACTTAAAACCGCTACAATTGTAAATAGATTCACCAAAAAGGAGAAATCTTAACTACTTACCTACTACACTAACTCTCAGGCCGCCGCCATCTTTGTCACCTTTGACCTTATTGAGGGACAATTCTTTGTAAAAGGGGAGGGGTGTAAGTTTTCCACACAGTAAAAGATGCAGTGTAAAACACAGCAAAAGTTGCAGTGTAAAACAGCAAAAGTTGCAGTGTAAAACAGCAAAAGTTGCAGTGTAAAACACAGCAAAAGTTGCAGTGTAAAACACCAAAAGTTGCAGTGTAAAACACCAAAAGTTGCAGTGTAAAACACCAAAAGTTGCGGTGTAAAACATCAAAAGTTGTGGTGTAAAATTTTGTACTTGTCGGCCACGGTAGATGGGACACCAAAAGTTGCAGTGTTGAGACACCAAAAGTTGCAGTTTTGAGACACCAAAAGTTGCGGTGTTGAGACACCAAAAGTTGCAGTTTTGAGACACCAAAAGTTGCGGTGTTGAGACACCAAAGGTTGCAATGTTGAGACACCAAAAGTTGCGGTGAGGGAACACCAAAAGTTGCGGTGTTGGGACACCAAAAGTTGCAGTGTTGGGACACCAAAAGTTGCGGTGTTGGGACACCAAAAGTTGCAGTGTTGAGACACCAAAAGTTGCAGTGTTGAGACACCAAAAGTTGCAGTGTAGAGACACCAAAAGTTGCAGTGTTGGGACACCAAAAGTTGCAGTGTTGGGACAGCCAAAGGTGCAGTGTAGAGACACCAAAAGTTGCAGTGTAGAGACACCAAAAGTTGCAGTGTTGGGACACCAAAAGTTGCAGTGTTGAGACACCAAAAGTTGCAGTGTTGGGACAGCAAAAGTTGCAGTGTAGAGACAGCAAAAGTTGCAGTGTAGAGACACCAAAAGTTGCGGTGAGGGAACACCAAAAGTTGCGGTGTTAACATTTGTCCCTGTCGGCCACGGTATATTTACCTCCAGGGCTTCCTCTGAGGGCTTAGGTTTGATCCCGACTAACTTCATGGCCTTGCCCACGTCACGTGACTGCAGGAAGCCATCTTTGTCTTTGTCAAGCTTCTCAAAGCATTTCTTCAACACTTCCTTTTGTTCGTCATCGAACTTTGGGTTGTCGGCAGCCATCCTGTAGATGTACATCATTTATATCTTAGTGTTAGAATTTAATAACACAATTGTGTCCCAAAATAATGGATTCAAGGCAGCATATGGTCGCCTTGATTGTCCCCATTATCACTGTTAAGTCTACTGAAAAATTATTTCAACTCATGGCCACTGACCCACATTTATATGACCTCTGACTTTTTTAACAGTTGGATAGAGTTGGATAGTTTAACAGCTAGAACGAAATCTTCACTAACTGCCCCCGTCACACACAGACGACAATTGCCTCCCGATCACTCTCAACCGTTTCCAGACAGTGGTTGGGAGTTAGTCGTGATAGAGGTCATACTCATCGGTTCAAAACAGTCGCCGAGGTGACGGCGCTCATGTCGCCCATGGCGCTCTCATCGCGCTCGCATGGTGACCTTGGCGATATCTTGGTGCTCTCTCCGCGCTCTGGCCAAGTTCAGGTCGCAGAGAGAGCGCCGTGAGAGCGCCGTCTTAGTAAAATGGGGGCCAATGAAACACAATCATACATAAAAGCATGTTGCATACCTTACCTGTTGTAAGACTAGACGGTGGGGAATTCTGTATAGACTGACACGACTGAAGGAGACAAACCTACACAGTGGAGGTCGACGGCCTTAGATAGTAACCCAGCACGCCTCAATCATACCTTTACAACGGGTCATTGCTTCATAGGCATTTCCGTACGTTGTCATTGAAGACAATCAACTGCGCTTGGGGAAAAGATTTTTTAAATATATTTATTCCAATATTTCATGACTAGATACGGTGATGGCACACTCAAGTGATATCAACTTATTTTATGCCGCCACGAACGCAGAGGACGAATACAGGACAAGACAATACCCATTTTCACTTGACTTAAGTGAGGAATGTCGTGTAAAGCTACCCTGACCCAATAAAATCTTGCCCCAAGGGCACAAGATCGGCGGCATATCAGGACTCGAACCCGGGACCTCTGGGTTCATTCCCAGTCGAGCACTCTGCTGTCACGCTACACGACCCAACTATCAATCTGCAATTTGGGGAAAGTTTGATGAGAGAAAATGTTAAGAAAAGAATCTTACAAGTTTTATCATAAAAATGAAACGATCGTTGTATCAAGAAGTAAAATCAACGTACAGAGTCAAGAGGCTTTATTGTTGGAGAAAATATTTTAAGGAAGCAATTATCTTCTGACCTGGAAACGTAGATGTTGTTATGCGAAAGTAATGTTTGATAATGCTGAGGTCACATTTCCAAATCGGGCCCGGCAGGGCAGTGTTTTTATGGAACGAGTATGATACAAAAGACAACAAAGCACAAAGGAATTGATAAAACTAATGATGGGAACTATAGCGTATATTAGTGATATAAATTGTTGATCGTTAATCGAAACAGCCCGACCGGGCCCCGGTTTGGAAATGTGACCTCAGCATAACAAACTCTCCTTTTCTTAGCATAGCCTTCACATCTGATGAAACCATTCTTACGAGCGACCTCTAGCGAAATTGTACCCTTGCTGCACATATTCTAGGCTGGCAAATGTCATATTTGCCAAAAAGGCACCAAATTTGACGGTTCTAGCGCAAGCCGTTCAGGCACTGTGCGAGATGAAAGTGGCCGCGGGCCTCAAAAGCCCCCCCCCCCCTGAATAGGATTAATTGTACGTTTATGGTCTTACAAGCTAAGTATAGGTCACGAATAAACAGGAAATACAGTAATAGCTTACTTCAACTACACATACTAACGTAAACAGGTTCAACTTCATCTCGCTTCTTGAGGCAGTTGTACATGTACGAACACATGGAGCTGATGATACACGGTTTGTCAAGTTTCATAAGGAATTTTTCTGTTTCTTCTTAAAGTCTAAAGCTGGGGAACTTATTTTTTTTATATACGTATAGAGGGAATCCCTCTCATCTCTATATTATGTACAATCAACTACAAAATGACATCCCCAATTTGATCCAAATAACAAAATTTGCAAATCGTTTGCTGTAGAGGAATGCGGTTATGTATGATGTAGACTAACCGGATGTTAATCATACAATCTACAGTGTTTGGACACGGTTCGGATCTTTTTTGAAACAACAGCAGAAGATGGTCATAGTAACCGCGACGATAGCAGCCATATGCATGCCAGACCCGACCACGGATCCAATAACCCACAGCTGGACTACATTCTTCTCCGGGCCTCTGGTGGATCCTGTGTGAGGAGGGAAGGTATATCTACCATACTGTATTCTTTTTTAAAATCTATTTCAACATGCAAAAATACAATACATAGTGGTGAAGCACTCAAGCAACATGCTTATATTCACGTCACCACTAGACATAAAAAAAATTACATCACAAAACATGGGTATCGTCCAGGTAACAAGAGAACAGAGTTTAGCTATTAAGATATTATAAATGAATATAAAAGTATAAATCAGTTGTTAAATCGCTTAGTTTGAGAGAGATATAGCTGTGTAATAATGAGTATTTGAGAGTTGACTGTAGATGAAAGTAAAGGTGAACCATTAGGTAACAGATATGCAATTATAGCACTATCGGATATTGTATTCATTCCATTAGTTATGGTAAAAAAAGGCATTTCATACATGCTTCCTCCTTTTAATACAACATTTTAATTAGAGAGTGATTGTTAGAAACCTTATCCCAACTGTTTGGTTGCAGACAAAGAACTCTGTTATCCTTCAAATTATAGACGTTGACAAGGAACAGATATTTTGTGCCATAGGAAGAAGCATATTGGGAGCTATATCTTACCTTTTGTGTGAGCCGTAACGGTTGCAGATGTTGCATTTGCAGATGCTGATGCTGATGAATGTGTAGCTGATGGTGTCTGCGCTGGCGTTGTCCGTGCAGGTGTAGTGGCCTGAGTCGGTGTAGTTGCTGCAGACACTGTCCGTGCAGGTGTAGTGGCCGCATTCGGTGTAGATGCTGCATACACCGTCCGGGCAGGTGTAGTGGCCGGATGTGGT